TACTCGAAAAATTGAATGAGTAGTAATAAGTGTCCTTGCGAGTGAAAGGGAATGTGGGAATAAATTCTGCCGATCACATGGCCAATCTGTAAATTTTAAAGCTAAGTGAAGAAGTATAAGTACAGTACAAAGATCAAACATGATAACGCTTGTATATAATTTTACGAGCGTTAACTATTACTTGATATAGTGCGACTAAGTCCGCAGTTACTATAAGTGCCTTCTTTAGATCCTTCCACTATGCCGTAAGACTTTTCTTCATTATTCACATTCACATTCTCTTTCAAACTTAAAAGTATCGGGCAATTGGCAACTTGATTGAATCTTCTTCACACTTGGACGTTATGGACATTTTATACAGAGTTTACTGAATACACTGCTGACCAACCGCAAGTCTTACAATGGTGAGATAGTGCTTGTTCTCATTTTGGAACTGAAAAAATATATGCCGGCATTTATGAGTGAGTCGCTAGAAAGCACTCACTTCCAACACACCATTATATTAAACCATCTAACTACAATCAGTCAAAAGATACACAAAACGGCTCATTCCTTGCCAAGGATTTATCGAGTTTGAAAATTTAATTATTATCTGGTCGCAGACAAAAAGTTTTACGATTATTACTTCGATATAGATTCTACTCCGTGTGCAGAATATTCAGATGTTAGTCCTGTGCTGTGTATCTGTGGATAGGAAGAATTATCTAACGGATGAACTAGCAACAATAAAAGGCTCGATAAATTTATTAAGAAAACGCACAACCCCAGCAAACGAAGCTTATTTGGAATGGAATCTTTTTGATTTTCTTTGGGATAATAGCGACACGTTTACTTGGAGACTCTAACCTTCTATGAACACTTTGAATTGATTCCACTCGATGAGACGAGTATATTATGACAAGGCAATGTCATGTTATATCGCACTGCAATTGTAAAGCACCGAGATCTCTTGATTGGACTACCAGCAACAATTCTCTGTCTGGATTTATTTATAATGAAGGCATGGATTGAATATTCGCAGTTGGGAGATGACGTTGAATGCACGCATATAGCGAATTGGTAACAATATACCAATAAAGTGATATTCAAGATTATATATAGACGGTTTATCATTTGATTTCTATCAGGTAAATTAACTTGTTGCGTAAATAATACAATAGCAATATTGTTTATTAAACATGTGTCGCGTGCTTAACGATACGATGATTGTTTAACGACTTTATTGTGTACTCAAATAACTATGTCAACGCTACTCAGAGATATACTACGGATTATCGGAATTTTTCTAAAGAGCCATGTGCTGGAACTATTTGTTATTGTTCTACAGTGAGATCCACACCATAAAATTGAAGAGATTGGATCTATGGTTACAGAAAAGTTTATACTGCCAGATATAAAGGAAGCGGGTACATTAATTCAGTTAAGGGATTGTCCAACGTCATTAATTCAAAGTATGTTCCGAGAAAAAGCTTTTGGTGAAGTATGAGAATTTAACGCTATTCCAGTTCAGGAATTTTTTTTATCTTAAAATCTATAGTTATACAATTACCGGAAACGAAGAGTGCCAATAATAATAACATCAATCTTTTGTCCTATTTGCATCAATATATTGACAGGCTGATATCGAAGACATGGAAGACGAAATTACGGTTTCTGAAGGATATTGCATGTTGTTTGGAGATCCTCGTATTTCATATAATGCAAACATATGTGGTTTTGGTCTTTCAAAGTCGAGTCTGCACGAGTCTGCATCAGCCAATAAAGATTTTATACAACTTAATATCATCGTACCGGAAATCTTTAATACTCGCAATTTACACCGGAACCAGACATCTACGCATTTGGCCTTGGTTGCCAGTGATGAACCATCTTCAAAAATAGGTTATTCAATTTTGATATAGATTTGGGGTATTCTGGGTGGATTACGACCAACCATGCTTGATTCAGTACTAGAAGCGTACTTGCTGAGAGTTGTTGCGATGCGATCTGGACAAACGCCCTGCGTGTTGAAACTTTATTCATATTGTATATCGACGATTTTGTAAAGAAAATAGACGAGAATGAGTCTGACACTAATACAGTGTGTTACGGCCAAATGTAGACGCGATTTAAAACACGATAACCTTTTATGCATTAAAACAAACACGCATAACATTATCTATATAAAAATAGCGTCTTTTCTCTTTCGTTTTTGTTGATAACATTTATTCTTGCCTACATCAAAGCTTCAAATAATGAAATTCTCAACTCAGCATAATTCCATAGGGGAACGAATAGTTTACGGTATTATACATCCTAGCGTTAATGGATGTCCAGAAGATTACAAACAACGTAAGTATAATATGCATAATATCTCATAACCCTACCATCTCTGTAAATTCTATCAAACAAATTGCCGAACGAACAGTATACAGCATATAAATACTAAAGATATGTTTATTCACACGTGCAAGAGAACTTTATTTGGATAAGACGTGAATGTATCACATGACAAGTCCGGAATACGTATAATCGGAAGCAAGCTGCACATTTTTAATCATCAAGTTATGTGTTGGTACTCTGTCTGAACTTGACCTTTGTCAAGGATCAAACCTTTCCCTTGTAGCTCTATTCCATCATTTGTCCGTTTTACCCACGTTTTGATAACGGGTGGAGCATTATTGAAAACAAAGTTGGTATTAATCAGGGTACTATTTCCGATAAATCACGTAGCTCCCGAGCACAGTCGCTGAGTGAAATCGCCTCCTGCTCTCGAATTCTGTATGCTTGCGAAAAGTCATCAAGAATCTGCTTTTGTGCCGGCGAGAGATTGATGATATCTTTTGTCAATGATTAGTCGTCGTTTGCATCATTGTCGTTTCTTAAGAACTTTACAAACATTAATTTTCTGTAATTTATAGCTGATTGCCTCGAATTACGGCAGCACAAGCATAGAGATATTGATCAAGAGGTAAACGTCATTTCGCAATATCCATTGCCTTCAAAATTTTATGGTGTACCTCTATTATTGCTTGTTCTACACTCACGTTCAGCTATTCGTTTGATCAAGTTACTCCACAAAACAATGCAGCTCCACCATTGGCGGCGAAAGTATTGTGACGGTTTGGACTGTATAATAGACCAAAAACACAGGCGGGTTCAAGTCCGACATTATAATCATGGAAATTTTCATTTGAAGATCAGGCACAACAAGTAGGTACCCAGAATTGTATCATCTGTCACACATGTAGTCAATCTTAAACCATTTCTAGGCTAAACATTAATGGCGTTTTCAGTCATATTTGCAATTGGCATGGCATGGATACCATTGTCTTTGATAGACTGCTTCAAGGCATGCAGATTTTGTTGATGGTAAATATTATATCTTAACAAATGTTTGTTCACTTGTCATGTGGATCCATTCCTTATCAGATACTAATACAGAATAGTTGTTAGGTACATGATCTCCATCAACTCTAGATGGCATGTTACTGCTGTAACTTGGTATAACAAGTATAACAATGCAATGCTCCACTCAATTATAAGAACACAGATGCCTTTTTTGAAAAAGTTTACTATATGCATAAAAGTAGGTGTTACATTTGATTTGTATGAAGTTTATTAATATTATGCATACTAAATTACTTTATTATTATATCTATGAGCATTAGGGCATCTGAAAGCACATTTTACATTTGAAAAACACTGGCAATGTTCTTGATAAGTATGTAATGGCTTTTTTTTTGTCTATCACTGTATCTAACATTTGCCCTCTGATAGTTGTCAGGGACCTTTGTACCTAATATAATAAGTGTTTGATATTGATACAATACCCAAACATATTATATAATATTCTGGTATTAACTAGCAAACAATTATTTATAGTTAACAATACCCATATTCCAAGTACCTCCAAATAAATACAAGGTCAGCATTTTGTTGAACTGTGAGTTGGTGTCAATGACATTTACAATCATGGTACACATTGAATGGATGGTAATCAGTATTATTGTTTTCAGTAACTGCATTGACAATATAATTATCAATTCTGTAGACATCAATAAAAATACCAACTGAGAAAATACAATGTAATATGAATGTGGATAATAAAGGTGGCTTTACCATGCAAGATTAACATTTTATCTGAAGATGACATTATTATAGAATTTGATATCAATTGTGTAAGTATGGTTTTTAACTCTATTCAGTTGCACATATCTTTATACTGGGTTTGTTTATACTCAGTTTGTCTCAATGTTTTGTTGTCATTACTAGTATTGAAATTGTTTATTAATACTGTAATAGTGTTTCTATATTTTCAATTCAAGGTACTGCTGGTTCATATAATAACTAATTCCAAACATTTGTCTCTCTATCTGCATCTGAGAATGCAGTCTTGTTCTGTACTTTGCACCAAATCCTTACTGCTTGCTGATTCTTATCAATGCCTGGCTGACAATTGAAATTCACTGCTCATACAAGTTCTTGGACAGACCTGTCATAACTTATCTGGTTCATTTCCATTAATAGTAATCTCTCTATGTATTCTTTGGGTGTCTCACTAATGAGACAGTCTGTTTGTACAAGGTATGGTATACCATTTGATCCAAATTCTCATATTTATAATTCTGTAGGCAAAATGCAAGGTGTCTGATTGAAAGATCTGTTACTATAAATTCAGCTAGCTGCAAAAACTGGTGGAGTATCAGGTTCACTTCTTAAGTTGCCTGAAGAAAGAGTCAGTATTGCATTAAGCATTGGAAGGATTTTATCATCTGCAGTAAGTGGTTTTTCTTAAAGAAGATTGTAAATATCACTTATCATCAGACCTGTATAGTGTAAACCCCCAGATTATGTGATGCACAGTAGTGATAGTAACTCAAATGCTTTATTATAAAGTGTAGTGATAATGGGTTTACAATCACCAGTACTTGAATGTATCCACATAGTTTTCTTTTTTTCTGCATCTGAATGTTACCCACTATTAACATATTAGGTTTTGTAATATAATTTTCAAAATATCAGGGGAATGTGGGTACAAAATGGTTGGTGCTTGGGGTAAAACTACTTGGATTCAGCCTGCATTTTAATTCCACATTATGTTGATAGGCAGTTGGAAGCAACATGTCTGACATGGGACAATTAGCCTGTTGAATGGGCATGGCTGCAATCACATCTGATAGCAGGGAAATTGATGGGACAGATATTGCACTTGGAAGGCTGAATAGAGCAAGTATTGGTGAATATGCATATGGATGACAAAAGCTCATTATTTCACTCTTGTACATACTCGCTTTACAATATTTCCTATTATCAGTGCCACTTTCATTTGCAGTATTAAGAGCATAGCCAATCTGCTGTGAGGACAGGAATAGTCTCAGGATGTGATAGCAGTTCATGGATAGTTACAACATGTAAGTTCAAGCTTAAAGATTTATCCCCTACTAGAAATAATAAGGCTGAATTAAACATGATCCATCGCCTGTTGCAACGCCACGGATGCGATTTTTGTATTCTTCTATTAACAGCAACGTTTTGCGGTTTGATAGTATGGAGGACAGTTCTCGGAGATTTAGTTGCACGTCGGAACGACGTAGGAGTCCTTGATTCCTTCGAAAGAAGGTCCACGTGCAATAAAAGCATTCGTAACGGTGATAATTTTCTGAAGCTTATTCATTATGCTTATATTGTGGTGTATTGGTAGCGTGTCCTAGTGTTTATGATACTGTTTGATCCCTTTTTAGGATTGCGTGCTTTGATTTTCAATTTATGTGGTGGCATGCATGATAATACTTCAACCATACGATGTCCTTCGTGAAGAACTCATCAATCGTACGATTTTTCCCAACCTCATAATGTTATTTCAAATTTTGACTAATGCTTAATCATATAATCCTCTTGAACTGTCAACAATACATCAATCGTATGACTTTACTTCAACGATAACAATTATACGATTGATTTTCAACCTATTAACCGTACAATTAATGCTTCAATCGTACGATTTTCTCCACAATGGCATTTTACTTGAATACGATCTTTTAACCTTACGAATTTTGGTTAACCATACGATTTTCTGCAATACTTGCATACTGTAGATGTTAATTCAACTCAATTTCCAGATATAGTTATGCAATTTAATTGTATGTCCTTATATCTCACTATAAATTAAAAATTTGCATTGTCGATCTGGAGTATGCATAGACAATGGCGAGTAACCATACCACACTTCTTACTACAATAGATGGTAAGACTCTTGAAGAGGCACTATAAGTTCAGACGGGATTGAAAACCGTGGTCTGCCCTTCAGAATGGTCAGAACTTCGACATGATAAATAACTGTGAACCGATAACATATACCGAGAACTTCTTTAACCCATAGCACGATCATGTGATAATCATCTAGATGAACACGTGACTATTGATACCCATATATTTACAGTTCGATCTTATAAAGCTTGTTCAAATTGTTGTAATCACAGAGAGTTCTGGACATCGCTTTGTCATTGCTACCACGATTGGTAAAGACATAATTCATAAGACTGAAAATAAGTCGCCACGGTCTGGAGTAGGCAACCTATTATAGACTGTTAATACTTATGACTGCAGTTTGCATGGATCAACCAGGTAAGATGTATAACACTGACGTATAAGGAATAATTATAATAGCATACAATATTCCTGACACTGCTGTTATGTCAAACCGACCGTAATATAACAACAATAGCCTTATAACCTTTGCAACCCATTACATAATTCTTTAAACGTCACCAAATTATTACCCTACTCTCTCATTGTCCGAAGCATACTCCGTTTTCCATTAAACTGCCCAACATGGAACGTATTGAAGTCACCCAAATGCTATAATCAATGGGAGAGACTGAAGTTACATATAGGTTTGAGTCAAGCGTGAATAATAATAGATTAGGTATCCGCAATCGTTCTCCTACTTCAGCTCTTACCAACGTTAAGTCAACTAGATCGAGGAAAAATAAAGAACGATGTGTAAAAGAGTCTTGTTGAAGTATCTGGGATTAATACATGAGAAAAGGAAGGAAATTCATTATGAGTGAATGATAAGAACAACTGTTTGTATCGTACATTACCGAACTGTAAAGAGAAACAAAATAATTTAGTACACTCTAGAATGGCCTAAAAACAATCGAGAAATATGGAGCAAAAGCCTTTGACCAATAAACGACAAGTAACGAAATGGCTAATCTCACTGATCAACTTAGAGCCAGAGTAGTAGTGTATAGAATGAGTAATAGTAACTTTCCATTTCGTGACCGGGTGACATGATCGTATTATCAAATCAGTGTTTATAACACTAATACCTAAATAAGGACAATAAAGTATGCAGAATAAAGTATATTGATTATCCGAACGCTAATGTTAACTAAAGTAAGTAAGTAGGACATAACGTGAATTACTAAAGCAGGTAAGATAGATCCTGACTCAACGTAAATCATTCTATTGTATACGTAACACAAATAAATACATTCACAGGAAATTGTTAGCTAGATAACGCGATACAATAGAGACGCAAATTTGTATAAAGAAATTCGACTGTTTTTTTCTTTCAGATATTTCCGTTGGTACAGTAATTGTGATAATTGTTGCTGCTATTTGATTATTCAGGCCATTCACAACATCCGATAAGAAAAAGGATAATCACTCTAACGCTAAGAACCAATCACAAACTGGCAAGTTGAAAACGAGCATGTGATAAGGTCCGTTCGTTAAATAGAATCAGAAGCTATCATCCTTCTTACCTTGCGATGAGTTCCTTTAAGATTATAATCAATGAAATAAAGAGGAAAATAATTATTAATTCAGCACGTTTCTCAATATCTTACAAAACACAATAGACGCACCAACAGTGACTGCAATCATAATCGAAAGAGGAGAGGTCTAATCGCACCGTCGCAATGTTCCTTCTTGACGGTTTATTAGAGGGCGGTAGTAACCAAAGTGACGGCCAATATGATGGCGATCGTGAGAAGGCAAAGTTGTTGCTATAGGTTCTTCGACTGGTCTTTCGGCAGTAATTACGCGGGAGGGGTTTATATAGCATGTTACACTTCTTTGGCACATGAGAATGGCTGTTGGTGTTTAATTCTTAAAGAATTACCCTCCACACACCCAGTTGTAACCTTTTGTTGTTTTCGTTACATAAGAAATCACAACACCAATACAGTCAATATACTATACTTACAGCATTAACAAATAATGTGACTTACCTTACCTTAGGTCCTTGTAAGTTGTGCATGTAAACATTGTACAATAAGATACGCTGTAACTGTTCGGCAGAGGTGTCGGTCGTGAAATATGCAGAGGTTGTAAGATCGTAAGTCTCAGCGAAAGGATGTCGAATATGTGAAATATATAACGGCAATTATGGTCGGTAAGTATATTCGCAGGATATTGACAACGCAAATATACACTGTATATTATAATAACATTTTATCCAACGCAACGGTTATATACAGAAAAAAATTTTTATGTGACACCAATTAATGTACTTGTTAGCATGCGAGATTTAGATTACATAATTGCATTACATTTTAACATGAGATTATAACTAATATCAAACTATCGTCAATTGCGATGCATACGTTGATAAAGTATGATCACTTATTGAATCTATTAGTAAAATACGTGTATTGTTCGTAATATACTCCTTTAGAATAAGTTGAAGCGGGGATTGTACGTTGTATTTGCATTAGTGTTTGGTGAAGGAGTAACAAGAAAGGGGTTGTCATAGTTAGGAATTGCTGGGAGAACCGAAGGAAAGGGTCTACGTGAAAAGGAAAAATTATATCAGTATGGTAGAAAACATCACGAGAATTATGAACGGTGTATATGGATACGCTATAAACGTGTTTATATCCGTCTCGCCATCAACAGCACGCCTCACCCCACCTCACCCCACCTCCCACATTATCATTCCATACTCACCTCTCTACACTCAAACTCTTCCTATCACCCTCTCCGCGACCAAACCTAAACAAGTCAGATCTGAATGGATCGAACGGAACAAACGTTGTGAATGGCGCGCATGGACGAGTTTGTAATGGAAGGGTTGGGGATGGGAGACTGGGTATGGGTTGAGGAGGATTTCGCAGCGGAGTATGACAAGATGGATAAACGGAATGGATAGGAGATGCGAATGGTGGATTGGATTGAAATTTGGAATTGAATAGTTCGTATTTGGGTTGGGGTCTTCTTTCTTCTAGAAAAGTTGAGAACATTAGCAAGATATAGTACAGTAGTATGTCAAAGTATGTTTTCGTTTCACAATAACAGTTTGTATCACCCTTTCAACCTCGCCCCGGCCCCCTCTCATCATTCTTTTCTTATTCTTTAATCTTATCTTCAACGCGCCGCCTACTCCACCCGTACCTGTGTCAAACCCATTGTCCATGTTAACCACCATTTTACCTCCAAACGGATCAAATTCTCTGTATTCCTGTGCCTGATCCACAAAATTTAGCCTTTGTGGACGGAATGATGTCGTGAAGAACGAAGCATTAGTGTCAACGGTATTATCGTTGTTCTCGTGGCCATTGTTTCTTGGAAGGGGAGATGAGAATTGTGATAACTATTAAAGGATGTTCATGATTTGAGTTGTTGACAAGGTTGATTAGAAAAGCATTACCAGCCAAAAGCAAGCCTGTTTTTACTACTGTTTCTCACACGACTTATCAATTACCCAATGTTCTTAATGCGCTTTCTTACCTCCTGGTTTTCTTCCACCTTTTGATTCGAGAATTCTTCATGCTCTTGCTCCTGGCTATTGCTTGCGCTCAGACTCTCCTCCTGCTTCTGCTCTTCTTCTCCCTTCCCTTCACGCGTCTGCTCTTGTTTCTGATCCTTCTCTTCTTGGATTTGCTGATCGTTCGATGGCTCATTCTTTTTGAACGGACAAATCTTATCTTCAAGATCAACTGGAAGTGGCAGTCCAGCCACATGAATAATCATCGATTTCTGACGTTCAGTAAATACGGGTGTAAGTATCCCGGCACGAAGCTAGATAAATAGAGGTGCGTGAGAAATAGGGGTTACTCGAGGTGGACTGGAGACGAGATACTATGACATACCATTCGTTCGAGCAATGTTTCTTCAATCCGATGATATTCTTTGCTCATATGTATTTTCAACGATTCGATTGCGACTGTCATCAAGTCAAGGACTGTTATCAAAAACCCTCCTCCAGTTCGCGCGGGAGATATTAAACACACTCCTTTTCATCTAATTATATACTTACGTTTTAACGTCTCGAATAGTAGATCTCGTTGCAAAGTTGTGTACAAGTCTCCTTGATGGAATGGGAACTTGGATAAAAAGGTGAGTTTTGGATAGGAGTTAAAGAAAAGTATTTTCCAAAGAAGATACAATATTAATTATACTTATATAACTTATATAATACCTTTGCCAATATGCTGATAATATTCTCAAATGGTCTTTCGGCGCATTTTCGCGAATAGTGGAGCTGGATATTATGAACGATCACTTAGTGTTTTAGTATTTATGTCTTACCTTTCTGCCTTTATCTAACCCTATATCTAATTAACACATTTTATCATTCCGTTTCCTTGCATTTCTTGCCAAACACATACCTTGTAATTCTTACAAACGACCAATAGACTATAAATTTCATCTCTCGTGATTAGGGGCACATTCGGTACCGTCTGCTTTCCATCACGCATCTCTTCTGTAACGACAGCATCACATCCCGAGAACTTTCCCTTCCATTTCGGGAATGTAGCCCTCATGAGTTCTGCCTGGGACGAATAGTGAAGCGATACCAGTCGACCTTTGAGGGGTTTAAGGTTGCGAGTAGAGACCGCCAGTTGTGCTTCATGCTGGGTTAGGAATTCGATGTAAGCTTCTGCATGGGTCTTACCCGTGTTTCTATTAAAAAAATCGATTGAGATTGAAGGTCATAAAGAAACTGCACGTAATAGCAGGAGATACAACGCTTGACGAAAGTGTTCAAGAGCATGCCATGGATACAAGTGCGATACTAGTCGATGAAGTAGATTTATTACCTGTCCATGATAACGTGAATGCTTTGTGCATACGTCGACGGATCGGGCTGCTTGAATGTCGAGAAGAAGTTTTTGATATCTCTCAATGAAATGTCCCAAGGAATCTATAATTTTTTAGTAAGGTTATTATATATTCGTATTGACTCCATTTTGTACAATCTCGACCGTTTTAACGTCTTACTACTTACGTTACTGATTTTAACCACAGGCCAGTCATATCTAGGCGCCAATTTACTTAGTTCTATAAATGCAGTTTGTTGCGACTTCTGTGGTGTGGGAGTATGAGAAGTACTTTTTGACACGTCGCTGGAGGGAGTGACAAAAGCTGTAGTGCAACGAATGGGTGTTGGAGTTGACAAAGGATCAGAGGATGACATTGCTTCTTTGGGTTTTTCGCAAGAAGAAGGGGGTGTCAAATACGCCAATGACGACGCCTTAGGAGTCTGTTGTTGCTTTCCGGGATTTTGGAATTCCTTGACAGGCTTAGTTGATTGAACGCGTCGATGAAGGATGAAAATAATGAAGATGAAAATGTTCAATATGAACAAGTTTGAACGTCAAAATAAAAGACACGTTTATAAGAAAATATGACCAGAAACAGAAAGAGCCGATTTTGTTATAACCGATTGGTAAGTACTCACATTTCCACAATAAGGACACGCTGAGAAAGTCTTGTATGAAGATTTCACTGTCCCTGATCTTAACTCATGCACACATTGCTCACACATTCTAGGCAACAGAATAGTTAGAATCGCGAGTGTCAACAAATTGCCCTATTATCTCTTACTTTTATTCTGACATCTGTTCAACCTTCTCACTCCACTTTTTGTACTCACCGGTGCCCGCAAGGCAACAATGTAACGTTTCCCTTTACGCACATAAAGCAACGCGCCAGCTGTTGAACAAACGTTCCTTGTGGATGGAGTGATGAACCGACGGGTAAGGTTTGTGGAGTATGATAGTGGGCCTGCGGGTAGGTTGAGTACTGGTATGAAAGTCGATGATGTGAAGAGAGGATAAAGATGGATAGAGAAAACCAATTACGTGGACAAACATGCATATTACAATTAATACGCATTTTCCTTCCCATTTTTTTTTTAAGAAAAGCTCACTCGAGTTCCTCCTACCTTTCTCATATTTAATCCACACATCTGATTCATTTCACTTCGTCTTTTTCTCTCTTCTATATCCATTGTCTCTTCTTTTCGTTCCCATACATTTCTCATATCTAGAGCAGACTTGCACTTAGCTGTTTTAAAGAAAACGCAGATGAGTTTATTATTATTCGTTCCGTTTACTGCTTCGATAGAATGCATTCGTGGGTGGGGGGATACATGCAAGATATTTCTTCGTCGATATCGATTGTCTTTGGTGTCTCCATCCAAGAGAATTAAGTTGAAGAGATTTGTTTGGAGATAAGTTTATAGAATCTGCAAGTTTTTTTAACAAAGGGGCAAAACTCGTTTTGGGTCACAATGAATGTTGCTACCGTGTGCGTGTAAGGTCATATAAGATACGTGCTCACCCCGCCTGTTGTTGTTGTTGTCTTGATATCTTTCGTGTAATGTTGTTTGGTTTCAAGTTACGTCTACGCGTCGTGTATAATGATTGTTTCTTTTTATTGTTATGTTGTGTAGAATAATGACAGTGTGAGAGTGAACTCTTAGGAATTTACGTGTAACTGTCGCTGTGCGATCATAGATGTAGACGCGTTCGAAAAAGGAGAGTTGCGTCCAGAAGTTAGTTGAATTTGCTTTTATTGGCAATCAACTGGTGCTGGCGGTATTTAAGCGTTTGTCTGCATAATTCGTATTGTTAAAGCAACAACAACATAATTTTTTTTCAATGCACATGTCGATTATTGTTTTTTTATACGTTTTATTGTCATTATAATCAGTCATTCACGTGATGTAGTACAAATAGAAAATTTTCCGAATGAATCAAAATGCTCTGCGCAGTCAGTAATATTTACTCCATATTGCTTGCAATATAAGATTCCAATAAATGTACTCAAACTATGAGAACTACCACCATAGTTTACAGATACAGACTATAAACCTACTGTATCATGCCCTTCACCCGGTTATCGCAGGGGCAAGTGTTCCTAACTAGAACCAAATTGACGTCACATCCAAGATGTCTTCAGGTGCGGGTTTCAAGACAAATTGCAAAGGGTGCGTATTGAAATCTCTTCTTGTCTTGTTGACAAGGATAAGCATTCTTTTTCAAATTCAGAAACAACGTGCAGACCATCGCCAAAATTCGTTCACTGACATAAGCCTTGATTGCCGATATACGAACTATTGTGAATATTCATTACAACTGGCAAAGGAAACCGTTGAAAACTGTTTAAGTTTTGACTGTGAAAACTTCTCCAGTAATGTTAAACAATCAGTCGTAGCAACAATCTAACCACGTTTCTTAAAGCTAATCACATTCTCTATCTAAACTTAGTAATACATATAAAATTAAGATTGACATACATAAAAGGCAAATTTTGTATTGTTGGTAAAAATTTAAATTTATATTTCTTAGAGAAAGATCTATTTCAATATTGTTCCAGTTTCGTGAAGAGGCACGTTTATGAATTTATATCGTGCGGTATCTTCGCGTTGAATATTGATAGCATTATAAGATTTATCAGTATATAGATTTTGGATGAGGACAAATTTAAGGAGGGAGCCGATGAACAATAACAGAAATGGATATCGAAATACTGGAAAAACTGCGTTTTCTACCATTTATCAAGACAAAGGATTGGAATCCGATTATGTTTTTATAAGCCACAGCGAATCCAAAAGCAAGAAAATTATTGAATTAGAAAATAAAAGGAATAAGAACACTTCACAGCAGATGTTCTTATGAAATAAACGTACTTTTATTTATGCTTTTTGTAGGCGGAGCATAGAAACTCTGTAAATACTTGGAGTTGAGGTCTGGTATTCTTTTTAGACGTGCTTACATGTCCTAGAGACCTGAAGATTTGGGTTTCGTCGATAGTCAACAAATAGAAGAGTATGTATACTTACTGTAACCATTAGAAGTTTGCCGACTGGTTAGAAGCCAAAGCCCGCGAGGAATGGGAAAGTGAGTTTAAAGAAAGGTTTTTGCAGGAGCAAGAAAGAGCCAAGAGTTAGCCAGGCCTCCATCTACTTCCCGTTTTAGCTGGCAAAACGATCGATATACTCTTTTCCTCTCCATCGGTCGTACTCCACCTTTTTTGCAAAGATTTGGCATAGGCCACCCAGTTGCATGACGCCGGTTATACGGTAGTCATAACACATACTATATAAGACGAGTTATCAAGTCCTTTGTCGAATAGAAAGTGGGTTGATATCTAGACGAATTGTGAGAAGGTTTGTTATAGGGGCCAGCTGTAATCTCAAGTTCTAGTTAGAGATAAGTCGCATTGATTAATGAGCGAAAGGATATCAGCTATCTCGTCTCGTGAAAATACATATTTATCAGCAAGACTTAAAAAAAAAGCTGGTGACTGACGGCATCCTGTTATTATCGGCATCGTGCTTACTTTTCCTAGCCTTATTGTTTGAGATAGTAACTGTAAACGCCAAATATGAATCGATATCCTGGAAAGAGCAGTTTAATATCATTGACAATGTTGCAACGCTAGGGAGAATTCATGACGAGCAATCACAGGTTAGTGCGTTCCTTCACATTGACTAGTATTTCGATGCACTCGATGCACTAATGATTGGTTTCCAATTGTATTACGTCACACAAGCATAAACAAACGAATTTCTGCACTGCGAAAAATTACTTTGGAAAACTAATACAGTTTTGTATTTGGCAATGGACTACAAGTATTCATCGCCAGCAGACAGCTGGGTAAGTTTTGGTTAATACATTCAATGAGCTCCTTTTCAAGAGAATTTTTCTGCATTGGAATAAATTAAACAACTCTTTCAATGCTCACAATAGAACCACAACTTATTAATAATATTATTATTATTAGGAGATGGGACAGCAATCATCTTCAGGTACCAAAAACAAAGGAAAGGAGAAGCAGCATGGAGATGCAGAGGTTGAAGATGTCATTGAAATAAACCTCATTACTTTTGAAAGTGACAGTGAGAGTGATTCTGAAAACTGTGAACGATTATTTCCTCTGAGCAACACTGAATTAAATGAACAATTAGCAACCAATTTGGAATCAATTGTCAACAATAATGATAGAACAAGTCATTTCATTAAATTATATGACCTGTTGCTATCATTTGGCACTTCATTAGATGATAATCAATTAGGAAATGCCTTGAAAATCATAGCAAGTGGGGTTGAATATGAACACTATACAATGACTACTGGTATGGAATTGGAACTGCATTTTAGGATATATGCATTATTTTTAGAAGTATATGGCAGGCGACCTCTTAAAATGGCAAGGAAATTTTATGAAACACTGTATGAAAATCTTGTACAACTACATAACATTCACCAGTCTTATATCAAAGCATTAGAGAATGGCTTGGAAACTACATGTAACTTGTTGACTAATTTGGAGGAAGGTGTTAATGTTCAAAATTGCAACATTAATTTTTTACTTATGCATCTTTATGATACTCTTCATATGATGGATGATGATAAAACTGTTTGGCTTGAAATTATAGATCAGTTAAAGGGTTTGTTTTCTGTACTTGTTGAGACTTTACCTAGCATGACTGGTATTATGACAAATGGGGAAACTCCAATTGATAACAAAGCTACTATTGATATTTATAACAAGATTCACAATACCTTACAATCAAAGTTTTCTATGGGACATTGGTACAAGGAATGGAGATATCTATATAGCATATATCAAGCATTTGTTGAATGGTCAGCTGTTCCAATTCACAAGAATCTAGTTATTAAAGGAGAATTGATGCTTATTAAGGATCTTTGGAGATTTGGAGACCAAGAATGGCATAAGGCAATTTCAGCACAATCAGAAATGAATGGGTTTAAATCTAAACTAAAAATCATACCAGATCATATCTCAGAATCAGTTCCATACCCTTTATTGTTTGGCATATTGGATATTACTCAGAATCTTATCATCTCTACAAAAAATATTAGTACCTTGGCTCATTGTTACTATCTTGCAAAGCTATCCCTAGACCTAGTAAGAGTAGAGTTTATTCAATTTAAAGCAATGGAAGTTCTGGCAACACTTTATAGAAAAGATCCAATTACATTTTCTGTTGTGCAAGTTGATCTAGATCAACATGCTGAAAGTTTTTCCACTTTGGACCAAGATAAAAAATGGTTTCAAGACATGAGAGAATACATTGATAAAAAATATGCATATATTAGTCAGGCAGGCAGCAGAGTAAATTTTGAAATGTCAGTCTCAAGACAGAAAGCAAGAAAACCAGACCAGATGCCTGAGGAACTTCTTAATTCAAATCCAAATGACCTGTTGATTTTAGATATGGTTGCAGATCATCTTACATGTCCATTTACACAAGAAGTTACAGAAGATTTTAGAATACTTCCATGTAAGCACAAGATAAGTTATCTGGCATTAGAAACATTTATGAGAATGAACTGTCTTGAACAAAGATGCTTTTATTGTAGACAAAAGTTTCAATTAGCTGAAACTGAAAAATTACCAAGTTCACCAATTTACAAAGCATTGTATGAAAAATTTGTCAAAGCTGGACATATTGCACCACCAAAAGGCAAAACAAAAGATTTTACAGCCATTGTGGCAAGTCAGGATGACAATGATGATGTTGAGGAAGCTTCTATTATAAAATCAAAGTTTTTATATTTGCTTCAAATGAAACCAAAGCAAACTATCCTACAAATAATGAAGCTACCAATAAGTCTACATTATACATACAGGCAAGGCAAGAAAGCTCTTGATGAGAAAAGATATAATGATGCAATAGTATGGCTTGAAAGAGCACTTATTCATTATCCCAACAATGCAACTATTCAAATTGACCTTGCTGTTGCATATATGGAAAATTTAAACTATCCAAAATGTTATGATTCCATAACTCAAGCCATAAAAAATGATCCTAACAATGCCAGAGCATGGGCTTGGCGTGGAAAATGTTGTGTGCAACAATCAGAGTACAGACAAGCTCTTAAAGATCTTAAACAATCATTGAAGATTGATGCAAGTGATGCACTTGCATTAGAAGTCAGGGGTAATATCTACTACATTTTTAACCAGTATGAGATGGCATTGGATGATTTCAATCAACTATTAGAGATTGAACCAAATAATAGAATTGCATTAGAAATAAGAGGAAGAATATATTCTGCACTTGACAAGTCCAACAATGCATTAAGAGATTTTAATAAATTACTGGAGATTGAGCCAAATGATGTAAACACACTGATTACAAGAGGAGCTGTCTATTTTAATCTTTGTCAATATGAGAATGCATTAAAAGATTTCAACCAATTATTACAAATTAAACCAGCTGATACAATAACACAACATCTAAGAGGGCATGTTTATCTCATGCTTGAGCAATATGACAATGCATTAAATGATCTTGATAAATCACTGGGAATGAATCCAAGCAATATGTTTATTTTAATAGAACAGGGGATTATTGGATACAATGGTAATTTGTATGACATGGCATTGAGCAATTTGAATAAAATTTTAAATACTGAACCTGATCATACATTTGCACTGAGAGTAAGAGGAAAGATCTATTATGCACTCAAACAGTATAATAATGCATTAAATGATTTCAACAAGTCATTAGAAATTCAGCCAAAAAATAATGTAAATACATTAGGCATAAGAGCTGTTGTCTACCTTGATCTTTGCCAGTACAACAAAGCACTGGATGACATTAATATGTTCTTAAAAATCAAACCAAATGGAACTCTTTACAAGCAGTTATCATCTTTGTTTAATCGATTTGAAGCACAAAATTACCAAAATCAATATTTATTATTAGATTTTATGGGATATCAAATTAGAAATGCTGGAGCCATAATTTTAGCAAAAATTTTAGAATCAGATTCCTCTCTGACCTCTTTGAATCTCCAGGGGAATCGAATTGGAGCTACAGGAGCAACAGTTTTGGCAAAGGCTCTAGCATCAAATTCTTCTCTGACTTCTTTGAATCTCCAGTCTAATCAAATTGGGACTACAGGAACAACAGCTTTAGCCAAAGCTCTAGCATCAAATTCTTCTCTGACTTTTTTGAATCTCCAATCTAATCAAATTGGGACTACAGGAACAACAGCTTTAGCAAAGGCTCTAGCATCAAATTCTTCTCTGACTTCTTTGAATCTCCAATACAATATAATTGGAGTTACAGGAGCAACAGCATTGGCAAAGGCTCTAGAATCAAATTCTTCCCTGACTTCTTTGAATCTCCAATATAATATAATTGGAGCTACAGGAGCAACAGCATTGGCAAAGGCTTTAGAATCAAATTTTTCTCTAACTTCTTTGAATCTCCAGTATAATAATATTGGTACTACAGGAGCAACAGCATTGGCAAAGGCTCTAGAATCAAATTCTTCTCTGACTTCTTTGAATCTCTATAAAAATCAAATTGGAGATATAGGAGCAACAGCATTGGCAAAGGCTCTAGAATCAAATTCCTCTTTGACTTCTTTGAACCTCCATAAAAATCAAATTGGAGCTACAGGAGCAACAGCATTGGCAAAAGCTTTAAAATTAAATTCCTCTTTGACTTCTTTAGATCTTCATTGGAATAATATTAGAGCAACAGCATTGCAAAGGCTCTAGAATCAAATTCCTCTTTGACTTCTTTGAATTTCCAATATAATATAATTGGAGCTACAGGAGCAACAGCATTGGCAAAGGCTCTAGAATCAAACTCCTCTTTGACTTCTTTAAATCTCCATAAAAATCAAATTGGAGCTACAGGAGCAACAGCATTGGCAAAGGCTCTAGAATCAAACTCCTCTCTGACTTCTTTAGATCTTCAGCAGAATAATATTGGAGCTACAGGAGCAACAGCTTTAGCAAAGGCTCTAGAATCAAATTCTTCTCTGAATTCTTTAGATCTCCAATATAATAAAATTGGAGTTACAGGAGCAACAGCATTGGCAAAGGCTTTAAAATCAAATTCTTCTCTAACTTCTTTGAATCTCCAATATAATAATATTGGAGCTACAGGAGCAACAACATTGGCAAAGGCTCTAGAATTAAATTCCTCTTTGACTTCTTTGAATCTCCATAAAAATCATATTAGAAATGCTGGAGCCATAATTTTAGCAAAAATTTTAGAATCAAATTCCTCTCTGACTTCTTTAGATCTTCAGCAGAATAATATTGGAGCTACAGGAGCAACAGCTTTGGCAAAGGCTCTAGAATCAAATTTTTCTCTGACTTCTCTGAATCTCCAATATAATAAAATTAGAGCTACAGGAGTAACAGCATTGGCAAAGGCTCTAGAATCAAATTCTTCTCTAACTTCTTTGAATCTCCAATATAATAAAATTAGAGCTACAGGAGCAACAGCATTGGCAAAGGCTCTAGAATCAAACTCCTCCCTAACTTCTTTAGATCTTCAGCAGAATATTATTAGAGCTACAGGAGCTACAGCTTTGGCAAAGGCTCTAGAATCAAATTCTTCTCTGACTTCTTTGAATCTCTATAAAAATCAAATTGGAGATATAGGAGCAACAGCATTGGCAAAGGCTCTAAAATCAAACTCCTCTCTGACTTCTTTAGATCTTCAACGGAATAATATTGGAGATACAGGAGCAACAGAATTGGCAAAGGCTCTAGAATCAAACTCCTCTCTGTTTTCTTTAGATATTCAGTGGAATAACATTGGAGATATAGGAGCAACAACATTGGCAAAGGCTCTAGAATCAAATTCTTCTCTGACTTCTTTGAATCTCCAAGATAATCACATTGGAGCTACAGGAGCAACAGCATTGGCAAAGGCTCTAGAATCAAATTCCTCTTTGATTTCTTTGAATCTCAAATATAATAAAATTGGAGCTACAGGAGCAACAGCTTTGGCAAAGGCTCTAGAATCAAATTCTTCTCTAACTTCTTTGAATCTCCAGTATAATAATATTGGTGCTACAGGAGCAACAGCTTTGGTAAAAACTCTAGCATCAAATACTTCTCTGACTTTTTTAAATCTCCAGGATAATCAAATAGGGGATAGAGAAACAGCTTTGGCAAAGGCTCTAGAATCAAATCCCTTTTTGTATTTGATTCTTATATTATAAAATTAAATTCTACTCAAAATTTTTGAAGCTGCTCATTTTTTTCAGAGATGCCTTGTCTTAGGAAAGGAGTAAATAGTAAATATAAAGGGAAAGTTTTCTATGAGTTATGATGCTTGAGACAAGAAGATATCAAGTCTGTGTTATGTTCTTCAATGTGCATGCAGGAAGAGTCTCTATCCAAAAGGAGAACATATTGGGATAGTGGCATGTCATACACATTATTACCAGGTTAGACACTTCTGTCACAGACTATTTTGCTAGGTTTAGGTTTAGATTGACAAAATGTAAATGAGTGTGTAAGTGTAATTCAACATCTAATAAAAATAAAATGCTTCTTCACTTTAAGACACATTCACTTGCAAGTAAATTTATTACATGTTCAGTGCCCTGACAAAAGTGTGTGATCAATCAGATTAATGAATTTTCAATGGTGTAGACTGAAGCTGACATCATCGATTTCACAATTTAAACATTTATTTGGTAAATACTGTTTGTTGGTTTTTCTTTTTTTAATAAAAAGGCTTGTTTACTACACTTTATTGGATTTCACCTTATCCATCTAAACCTCTCCATGTAGCTCGAGCGGGGCTCGAGCTCCAGCATCTAAGCTCCTCGTTTGAAGAAAAAAAGAATTGGGCTCTGCCGGGAATCGAACCCGGGACCTCCAATACCCAAACTTGGAATCATACGACTAGACCACAGAGCCATTTGATATTTAATTAGTTGATAATTATTTTAATAAATAATTGCCAAGATGTTCAATTACCGATTACTAGCCGATCGCCTCCCGCCAGTACATTAATAGTAATCATTTGAATCCTTTGTTTGGAAATATTTACGTTTCTAAATACCCATCACCCCCATTTTATTTATTGCTGTTATATTATACACCATTAATTTATCCTTAGTTCAGAACCTAAGTATACGCAGAATATATAGATATGCTCTAATGCCTACTTTAGTCGATCAGAAGACTGCATATTAATATGAAGTTGGGATGTGACAATAATTAGCGGATAGGCTGCTCCGTAATATTGTTACCGCATGCGTCCATTATTGAAGAAACCACCGTCACCTGTCTACGTACAAGCATGCGATCCCCAAACTCCTGCCATCTATAGAATGTATAAAGAATGATTAAATTAGAAAGATGCACAAATAAATAGCAAAGAAGTAGACATTAAAACCAAGCCGCTCTAAAGGCTGCTTTGTCTGTTATGTTACCAAAAAAAACCCACCTAACATACATTTGTGCTTCTGACCTGCCGCGTTTAATCGTCTTCGTCTCCAATTTTAATTTGAATTGCTGTATCATCGACGTTCTCAACGCTACTGCTTGCAAGAGGGCTCTCTGTGTCGTTTTGCAGTTTTTAAGAACAAGTAATAAAATTAACAAACAAAGGACGTTTAGTAGATATACTTTTTATAAACGTACAAACAATTCTGCATAAAAGGCTTGACGTTAACTTAAATGTTCAACCCTCTTGATATTGCTGACTCTATTAAAACTAAATTTTCATCCGCTCTCTGTGATCGTAGGAACTATTTGTCACAAACTTTCACACATAATTTAAAGCCGCCCACTCCACTGTCTGCTTAAGCTTTCTACCATATCCCTAAATAGCGCCTGCCGCCAAATTACACCAACTTCTTCATCGCTTTCGCATTATAAATCACCCAATTCAATCACTATCTTCACTGCTTTCTCGCAGTAATGTAACAGAATCTACAACAACATCACGAAGATTACCATCATTTTGTCTCTGGAGATGTGAATGGTGCAGCCGGTGTTTGAATGGAAGGTGAGATTGACGAGATTCAAGCGTGTGATAGTACTGTCTGTAAGAAAAGTAAGCAAAAACTAGGCCTGGTTTCAAAAGGACGTGTTGAGCAATAGTGTAGGAAAAAAATTTTGTATGCAGATGGTAAAAAAAAAAAA